GGAGCACGGAGCGAACTGAGCTACGAGCGAGGAGCGAGAACGGCTGGAGCACAACTGGCTGGAGCTAGAAACGGCGAGCTAGGGCTGGCTGGAGGTAGGAACCCCCGGAGCTAGAGACCGTAAGTGCGGCTGTCGGCTGCCGCTAGTAGAGCCACTGGCAGTGGAACGTACGTGCGACAGTAGGGGCTGCAGTACTGACGGTTGCGGGATGCTGGCAACTGTGCAGGTCGTCCGGCAAGCAGGAACGCGGGCGACAGTTGCAGGCCCCCACCCGAAACCCCTTTTTTTTTTTTTTAGGGTTTATTTTTTATTTATTTCTTTTCTGGCGCTAAAGCGCTTCGGGGCGCGCTGCCGGCAGGGTGCGCTGCCTGCGGGGCGCGCTACCCGCGGGGCGCGCCGCCTGCGGGGCGCGCTACCCGCGGGGCGCGCTACCCGCGCGGCGCGCTGCCTGTGGGGCTGGGGCGACGGGCCAGGGCGCGGGCTGGGGCGACGGGCTAAGGCGGGCGCCTGGGCGACGGGCTAGGGCGGGCGCCTAGGCGACGGGCTAGGGCGCGGGCCTGGGCGACGGGCTAGTGCGTGGGCCTGGGCGACGGGCTAGGGCGGGCGCCTGGGCGACGGGCTAGGGCGGGCGCCTGGGCGACGGGCTGGGGCGGGCGCCTGGGCGACGGGCTGGGGCGGGCGCCTGGGCGACGGGCTGGGGCGGGCGCCTGGGCGACGGGCTGGTGCGGGCGCCTGGGCGACGGGCTAGGGCGGGCGCCTGGGCGACGGGCTAGGGCGGGCGCCTGGGCGACGGGCTAGGGGCGCAGGCTAGGGGCGCCGAGGGCGCTAACGCGCGGAGGAGGAGGGCGCTAAGGCGCGGAGGGCGCGGAGGGCGCGGAGAGCGCAAGGGTGCGGAGGGCGCTAGGGCGCGAGCTAGGCTAGGCTAGGCGAGAGGATCGACACCTACCCTCTGATACCATCTCAAAGTTAGCGAACAACGGAATGTGTGAACTAGGGAAACAAGGGATACAAATAGCAACCCTAAAAGTGTTGTACTCCCTATAGTGCTACTCACTGTAGCCTAAGAACCTATAATAACATTTGACATATCGAAGCAAAAGTACAAATGGGCGAAGGCATGAGCGAAGAATATATAGCGGAACTACAGTGGTAACGGCTATGTGTGAAAAATGGGTTGCGCGACGGGCCTAGCGCCGAGGTTGGGAGATGTCGAGGCGGAGGTCCGGAGCGCGGGTTACCAACCGAACCGTGAGGTTGGGTCGCGTCGTGAATGGTGGCGGGAATGGTGTCGAAGCGAGTGTCGCGAGTGGTAACGGATTACTGTTGGGTGCTGTGGGCGGGAACAGTGGTGTACGCGCTGAGCAGGGACGCGAAGTAAGGAGAAGGAATTTTCCTTACAGATACAAATAGCCAACTCTTAAAAGGGTTGAACAATTGTATTCTCTAATGTGCACATCACTATAGCTCAACAAACTAGCATGCAACTATAATTTGACAAATCTAAGGTACCTACGATTCCTATCCATGGGAGGTACTGGAAAAAAAAAATGATGTTGAAAAGGGATATCTGTACAAAGTGACTCATAATAACACCAGCAAGGGGTCGAAACAAGCACGACAATCCACCAATAAAAACAAAAAAGATGTGGCCTGCAAGGTGCAGGCCAAATACATTCCATACAACTAGACAGCAGCACACTCCTGAGTGGCTCGCAGCAACAACTAGTTGCCTCGGATCATGAGCCACACAAACAGCAGCGGAGCCATGGCCAGAATCGTCCACGGCAGCAGCTGAATCAGCATCTTCTCCTGCTTCGTCTCCACATACTTAGTCTTGGGCATATACCGCCCAAACCCCGACAGGAACATCCGGTACATGTAATCATCAAACAGCGACGTCTCTTTCGCCTCCTCCCCCTCCGTGCCGAAGAGAGCCTGTGCGGCGCGGCGCTTGATGTTGGGGTAGGGCGCGCGGAACTGGATGAGCGACTCGTACAGGCTCTTCGCCTCTGCCTCGCGCCCGAGCTTCTCCAGGCAGGCGGCCTTTTGCAGGGTGGCCTCGCCGTGGTGGTATGATTGCTCGCCTGCTTGCTTCAACACCTTGTTGAAATGCGCCATTGCTGTCTCGAAATTGCCCTGGAGGAGAAAAAGATGGGTGGGAAGGAACGTGGCAGGAGTTAGGATCCACAAGCTGCTTCAGCACCTTGTTGTGATATGCCAGGGCATTAAATCTATGCTAGCACCAACCCATCAATGCTGGGAATGAACGGAACGCGAAGCATCAATCCTGGCGCATGCTCGACGAGCGCTGTCATCCAAGGGGTAATATTTGTGGGCGCCTCATAATTCTCCCCACATAAAAACCGTGGGGGTGGAATACGTTCTGCTTGCATTCTCGCTCCACATTCATTCGCTTTGCACGCGGGGAGAGAGTGGGGTGGGGGGGAGTGAGTGGAGGGGGGGAGGTTGTGAAATGAGCGGAGAATGGAGGGGTGAGAAAAACAACCATGCATGCTTGTAGATTACTTGATCGTTGTGTTGTTCATTCGTTGTATGGCCATTTGAAATAAAAACACATTTCCGGTAGCAAAGAGCGGTCGTGCGTGGCGTCATCAATCACAACGCGGCCGCACCCGCTCGATCATCATCTTGCCGAAAGTGAGGTCGTCGTGGTCCAGATGCGCTCTCTGCGCATCCTGAATACGTCTCAAAACCACCTATAGCGCGTACGCACCTGGTCGTAACCCTTGCCGAACTTCGGATTTCAAAGCTTTAAGACGTCTCGAAACAGCCAATACTAGCGCGGGCGCACCTGGTCGAACATCATCTTGCCGAACTTGAGCTCGTGGTCCAGGTGCGCTCTTGCGGCGTCCTGCTTGAGCTTCTCCTCGCGCTCCTTCAGCTCCGCCGCGATCTTCTTCTGCGCCGCCGCCACCAGCCGCGCCTTCTCCTCCTCGCTTATCTCGTTCTGCGCCCACCCCGCCGAACCGAGCCGCAAATGGCCGAACGAAAGGGAGCGTTTGGTAAAGAAACGAAATCAAGAAACAGACACGCCGGAGAATGAAAAACGGTACCATGACTTATCTCTTGAATATAGTGAAGATAACGTTTTCCTCCTGAATAAATGAGAGAGCGAAGGGCAGCAAGGGAGGACGTACAAGGTTAACATGCGGTTCAACTCCAAAGGGCTTGCCCCTCGCGATTCCCGTCGACCTTGGCCGGTGTGTAGCAGAAGCATCGCCGCCGCTGATGGAACGAGACGGCGGAGATGCCGTTAATCGTTGCGACGCGGATGAGCTTTCCGCCTTCGCAACCACCACGGGAGCGCTGAGCGCGCTCTGCGTTAGTGCTGCTACTGTGCACGCCATGAGGGGTAACTGCCGTATATAACTTTAAGAACCTGGTAAACTGCTGGTCACCTGATTACCTGTGGAATAACAGCGAGATATAGAAGGTCGTGAAAGGAGAGCGAGCAGTGTTCACCTGAAATGGGAGCCTCAAGCTTGAATCCGACAACTGCTCTTGTGTTGTGACGTTTTCTGACGTAAAATACACAGAACAAGCTTGTTGCTTGAAGCGTGTCACAAAAGCTTGGTAATGTGGCCTAGGCTGGGAAGCTGGAAAGTAGGTATGGTGACGAAGAGTATGACTGAGCAGGTAGAGCGTATATACTAGCTGTAGAGTCGCTTCCCGAGTCACACTGGTAGCATTTTGAGTTTCACTTGAGTGACACATCCGAGATACGAACGACATTGGTTCGTCTCTTGAGCGGTTCAAACAAGTAAGGCAGCAAGGCCTTGGGCAAGATGTTAGGTTCAGGGCGGGTCCAACTTTGCATATGTACACTATATTTTCAGCTCAGTTACCACATTTCGGCATGTAACAGAAATACAAACGTACCAGAATCCATTTGACGCGAGACTGTACATATATGATGACATTTCGAAAACGTGCCCGGGGACGTGCAGAACACGTCCGAAGGTTCACGTCAAACTCGTTTCGCGTCAAACACGCCAGAAGGTAACACCTTGTTTCGCTAATTTGTTTTCGCCAATGAATCCCCCCTCTGTCACAGGTGCAAAAAACCTCTCATCCCCCATAATTGGGTAACCCCTCATTCCAGGTACTGGACCCCGCAGCGTTACTGTACCTTGTCAAAAGTCCGAATTGTGCACTCGGAACTGGACAGGAAATGTTTGGAGTTCGCACTGGGGTACAGTCAAGTTTGACTAGTGCATTGACGTAAAAATAACGAAAAAAACGGGAGTGTGCAAAGTTGGACCCGCCCTCAGAGTGACTTCGTTGCGCAGGAAGGGCGAAAGGTCCTAGTCAGGGCGGTTTCCAAACGTGGTGGTTCGGATGAAAGTGGTTTGGCGTCAACATGTCTTCCCTTCCCAGGGATTCGGCACAAACAGCTGGCACAGATTTCCGTGGTAGCTGGAGAGAAAGATCTTCGAGTGGAACAAGACCACGTCAGCTGTGACACGATGGCAGACAATTCTGAATCAGCAGGAAGTATCCATTATTGAGGTTCTTCTAGAGTACGGTGTGCGGTGTAGATTGCATACCATATCTTCAGATTAGGATAATTTTCTGTAATTATTTTTTTCTGGGTATCTAACAGTTGTTCGGCACCAACGCAATACGGCAGTCGAGTACGCTTGTCGAGGGTTCGCCACGCTGAGAATCCGAGCGATGGAAGAGGGGGGAAAAGCACTGGAGGGAAGGGTCATTCTAGGATTCACAGGTGGTTCCGGTTGTCGGCGACCATGGCGGTGACCGCATCTTCTTTCTCTTGACCAAGTAACCTGCCAATCCCAGCACAGCGGGTCCTCTCCTCCCGCGCCCTGGCTTCATCACGCGCAGAGGCGTTGACTTGGTTGACCACACGGCACCAGGGAGCCGACAGTGCATTGTGCCTAGGCTGCGAGTTCCGTTACAGTCACACCACCACCCGATCGTTAGACGCGCATCCCCCCTTACTGTCAAGTCCTCCCTGCATGGCTCCGAGCGTGCTCTTGGGCTTGCCTGGCCCATGGGCCAAGGACGATCGTGAGCCGTCCGATCACTACACGACCAAGATCGGGGGCTTACCTGTAAGCAATCCTAGTGCCTGCACGCGTCATTTGACGGAATTTGTTTCCACGCCCGCCTCTGGCGCCGATCCCAGGCTCTTCACGGCCCCCGTCTCCCATTGCCCATCCCGTATCCTGCGTGAAACCCGAACCCAAATGCCCAAACCCTGAACCCGGGCTTACCTCCTCGTGCCCCCGCCCCCGCGATTCCCTGTTCCGCCGCGCGTGTCCTTCAGGACTGGCCCCCGTGGGCAGATCACCCGCCACCGCATCTGCTGCACTGCGCTCTCTGCCAAGGGCCGCTCTCCCTCGTGCTGCAGGTGGGTGCCAGCCACTCTGCCATATGCACTTTGTCGTTTTGCCTCTGCTCCCTATCCCCCCTCTCCCCCCCTCCCCCACCACTCTTCCCCCCCCCCCCCCCCCCCCCTACCCACCCCCTCTCCCCTCCTTCCCTGTGCATTTGGCGTCCACTCACTCCACCCACTCGTCTAGTTCTGCGACTTCCTTTTGTCGCCTGTATTGCCATGGCCCATGTATCATTTTCCGCCGTCTGCCATTTGTTGCTCCCTTTCACCGTTTTAACGCACTTCGTTTCTACCACAATCCGCTCATTCCCGTTCTCGTCTTCCTCCCCGTTCATGTTCCCTTTCCCCGCCCTCTCCCCCTTTCGTTCCCTTTCCCGTTCCCCTCCCCCTTCCCCCATCGTCAGGCATATGCCCCGCTCTCCCTTCCCGCAGCAGCAGACGGTGCAGCAGCAGGGGTGACACGTGGCAGCTTGCAAGTGGAAGAGCGGGTGCTGTACATGTTCGCCTGCGCCAATGGGGGAAAGGAGGGAGAAAACGGGGAAAAGGGGAGAACGGGGGGGGAGGCTCCTTCCGCCGTTCCCCCCTTTGGGGACCTTTCGTCTGTGTTTGGAGATGTGGTGGTGGGGGGAAGCGCGGGCGCAGGGGGAGAGGGGGAGGTGGGGGAGGTGGCGGAGGAACTGGGGGAGATGGAGCTGGGGGAGGAAGGCGGAGAGCGAGGGGGACAAGGGGAGGGGCAGGAGGAAAGGGGGGAGACAGGGAAGAAAGAGGTGCGAGGTGGGGGGACGGGGCAGGGAGACGCGGGGGAGATGTGTGGAGTGGGAAGTGGGGAGGAGGGGGAAGGCGAGGGCCGTGTGCTGCTCAGGCTCAAGGGTGAGGCACTGTGGGCGGGGTGAGGGCATAGCAGGGGGCGCATGGGGGGGAGAGCTTGGGGGGGAGAGCATGGTGGGGGGAGCATGGGGGGGGAGCATGGCGGGGGGAACATGGGGGGGGGGAGCATGGTGGGGGGAGCATGGCCGGGGGAGCATGGCGGGGGGAGCATGGCGGGGGGAGCATGACGGGGGGAGCATGGGGGGGGAAGTGGGCATGGGGGGGGGAGAGACAGGTGGGTGAGCAGGGCGGAGCGATGAGGGCAGGGGGAGCAGGGGGAGCCGTTTGTTTACAAGCAGGGGCCTGCGCTGAGCCTTCCCTGGCCAGCCCTCTCTCTTCCTCCATCCTTTGCACTCACACCCCGGACCTCTTTCTGCCCCCATCGCCCCATCCTGTGCCCTCTCTTCCCTGCTCCCTGTGCTCTGCTTACATGCTTCATCTCCTCCCCCCCCTCCCCACTATCGCCCTGGTTGCTGCAGGTGGCGCATCATCCGCCTGCAGCACCTTCCCTCCAAGCAGCCGCCACCGGAACAGACAGCAGCACCAGCAGCAGCGGCTGTGACAGCAGCAGCAGCAGCAACGGCAGAAGTGGGTGGATCATCATGGGGAGATGCGAGTTCCTGGGATGCATGCAGCACAGCAACAGGAGATGGCTGGGGGCTCACACACCCACCCTCAGGTGCTTCAGGTGCACATTCAAGTGCCTTTTCAGGTGTCGCTCCCACAGCAGGGTCGGAGTGGGGTGGAGAAGCAGCAGGAGGGGGAGGGTGGGGCACAGGCACATGTGACAGTAACGAGTTCGGTTCCACTGTGGTAACCCCCCCACTTGCATCTCTTGACGCTCTCTCTGCGTCTCTCAGTGCTGCTGCTGCCAAGGCCGCTGCTGGCACTGCTGGGGAGGCGAATGCAGCAGGAAGGAAGGAGAAAAGGGCAGCTGCAGGCGGGGAAGCATCGGCAGGAGCATCACCAGCAGCACAGGCGGCACAAGGAAATGCAAGCAACACAAGAAAAGCAGACATGCGTGCTCTGCGGGTGCTCCCGTGCTTCTATGTGTTTTCGGAGGAAGACGAGGCGACAGGCAGAGGAAAGAGCAGGGCAGCAGCATCAGCGACAGCGGTGCCTGGGTTGAGAGATGGGGGAGATGGGGTGGCAGCGATGCAGGTGGAGGGGGGTGCGTTGGAGGGTGAGAAGTGGGAGGGCGAGGGGTATGAGTATGACCAGGCGCGCACCGTGGGGCGCCCGTACCTGCGCTTTAAGAAGCGCCTCGACAAGCAGCCCCAGCAGTGTGTCAGGTGTGGTGCAGTGCGGTGTGGTGCGGTGCATGTGGTGTGGTGCGGTGTGCGGGTGAGGTGTGGCTTGGTTGGTGCATGGGTTAGGCATGGTGCTGGTGCGAGTGCCAGGTGAGGTCTCTGAGCTGCAGCTCCTTCCGCCACGGTTCATCTTCTGCATGCCTCCATGTTCATCTTCTGCATGCCTCCATGTTTCATCTTCTGCATGCCTCCATGTTCCCGCCTAACCAGCTACCGCTTCAACGCCCACCCCATCTGGCCCTGCGCCCTGCCTTTCCTCCTCCCAGGCGCATCTAGAACCTGCCCTCTCTGCAACCCCCCCCCCCGGTGTTTGCGCTGCAGCTCATGCCGCCGCTGCTATTCTGGTGCCTCTTCCTCCATTCCCTCTCATCAGGTACCGACTCAACGGCCAGCCGATCTGGCCCTGCGCCCCGCCACCCCTCCTCCCAGACGCATCCCATGCCTGCCCTCTCTGCCACGCCCCCCGTGTGTTTGAGTTACAGCTCATGCCGCCGCTGCTCTTCTTCCTGCTGGAGGCTCTGCGGGAGCGGCAGGAAGGGGAGGGTGAGGGCAGTGGGCAGGGTGACGGGGGAAGGAGGGAGGTGGGGTATGGGGAGGTGGCGGAGTGGGAGTGGATGACTGTTGCTGGCTTCACTTGCTCGCAGGTGCGTGTGGTGGCACGGGAGTGATGGATTAAGGTTGCTGGTGTGGGATTGGTGGAGTGAGAGTGGTGGAGTGGGAATGAAGTGAGGTTCTTTTACGAAGAGTGGAGTGGGAAATTGGTGAGGGGGGGAGTGACGGAGTGAGAGTGGATGACTGTTGCTGGCATCGCTGTGCATGAGGCAGCGGAGAGGCATGAGGGGGGAAATCATCAGAGTGCAGAGTTGGAAAAGCAGTGCATAGTGGACCGTTGCTGAAGAGCATGTGATATGATATGCAGTGCATGAGCTCATTCAACAATTTTCATTTCCCCTCTTTCACTCACAGGCCTGTGGCACAACTGACCTGGTCGGTGCGCCAGAAAGGGACGGGAATAATTCGCCATGGCTGATAGCAGTAGAAGCGATTGTGTTGGTCAACGACCAGTAGAGCTCTGCCCTGATGTCATCTAAGGCTCCGCCTATTACCGTACTGCTGCCAGTAGAGCTGGAACCTCATGATTCTAGGCTTGACTCAGCAGCTCTGATGCAGATTACACTTACCGTATGTAAACTCTTAAAGTTCTCCTATTGATATAATTTTTGTTTCTTGGGCCGACATGAAGCCCTTAGGATCGTTCAGAGACTTGATGAAGATTGTGAAAAGGGAAAGCCTTGAATCCATGTACCGGTACTGAGTAAAGAGTTGAATGAGATTTGGTTGATATTGTCAGAATGGTCTAAGCTACTAGCGGAAGCTATATAGTAGTCTTAGAACCCCCTCCTAAAGCCTAGAAATCTTAGGAGCCAACTTGGGCATGAACCATGCTAGAACAAAAAGGGTTTCTATAAGGAAAATTCCCTTTCCTTACTCCGCGTCCCTGCTCAGCACGTACACCACTGTTCCCGCCAACAACTCTCAACAGTGCACCGTTACCATTCGCGACACTCGCCTCGAGACAGGCCCCTAGATTCGTTTTTGGACACTCTGATGGGTCAGAGTGCACCCTTCTCTGAACTCTGTCAGTCAGAGTTGCCTCCAATTTTAAGTCTGTAAATTCAGACAACACTATGTTTTCTAGGCTGAACATTCAGAGTTACACTCAAACTAAAGGCTGATGACATTTATACTTCACCGGCACAAACAGTTCAACTATCTGACTCAGATTCTGACAGATAACTATCAAAAGCTGCCCGCACAACTACAGGCTCCTCTACAGGCTCCTTCCCAGCCCTTGGGGGCTCCTCCCTGTGTCTTGCAGCAGGTGCTGTGACTGGCCGGCGCTTCTTGTAGCTGCGCCAAATTTCTACTACCCCAGGCACATCTAGCTCATAGTCTAGCAATGACATACACAGCAGATCACTGAGCCTACACCCTCTGCCACGTCTTGATGAGATCCTGTCGAGAGAATCCTCTCTCACACTCGACGGTGCTGAGAGGCAGCACTGCAATCGCCACCGAGAGTTTGACGAGGTTGGTGTCAAATAGTACTTAGGAGATTAGGAGCTTGGAGGGAGAGAGTAGCATAGCGAGATGGATATCGAGGGAGTTTGGGTTGGCCAAAGAGGGGTTCAATAAAGGCAAAGCATACAAGATATAGGAAAGAGGAAGGGAGAAGAAGAGGGTACACCACCAGCAGTTGATGCTAATAACTAAACTAATACACTAGCAAGCTATAGGCAGTTATAAGATATGCAATATCAATTAACACACCCCCGTAACTGCCTATGGCTATAGCTAGTGGTGTCTGGCACCAGGTCGCCTGGAGAGCGGTTGCTTGTAGCTGGGATATGCACAGAAACAGCGGTTGCTTGCCGGCAGCACCTGTGAACGCCATAACGGAGGAGGGCGCGGAGGGCGCGGAGGAGGGCTGGGATAACCGGAGGGCGTAGGATGCTGGTGATTAACACCAACCGTTGGATAGGAGGAGGAAGCTGGTGGCGCACAGGCGGAGAGCCGAGGAGAAGCGGCTGGAGGAGCACACAAGCGGAGGAGGAGGCGGCTGGAGGAGAGGAGAGAGGAGAGGAGAGGAGAGAGGAGGGGAGAGAAGAGGAGAAGAGGAGAGGAGAGGAGGAGAGGAGAGGAGAAGAGGAGAGGAGAGGAGGAGAGGAGAGGAGAGGAGAGGAGAGGAGATAGGAGGAGGAGAAGCGGCTGGAGGAGAGGAGAGGGTAGGAGGAAAGATGGCTGGAGGCTCCCACCACCCCCTCATCCTCCCTCCCCCCCCCCACCCGCTGCAGGAGTAGCAGGGAGAGGGAGGAGAAGGCGACGGCTGTTGCCGTCTGGACCCTCACGCCACCCCCTCACGCCCCTCACCCTCCTCCCCACATCAGGAAGCACGGCAGGGCGAGCTGGCGGTGCAGGCCCGAGAGCGCCACCCCCACAGCGCCCCCCCTGCAGCCCGCCAAATCCCACCACCACCCCCCACCCATCACGTCCCCCACACGCAGAAACGCAGCGGTAGGCGCGGGTGGGGAGACGGGGGGGGTGCGAAATGGGCGGCGACGGGGGAAAAAGGGGGCCGCGATCGGCGCCGCGACAAGCGCTGTAGTGGGCGCGACGGGGGGAGAGGGGGAGGGGGAAACGAAACGTGGCCGAGCGCTGCATTCTGCAGCAGGCGCGCGTGCGCTGACGTGCGTGCGCCTCTGGCGTGTGCGCGCGCTGCTTCTGGCGGGCGCACGTGCTGCTGCTGGCTGGGAGAGCGTGACGAGGCAGCAGTGACGGGGAGCGCGACGGGTCTGGCGACGGGGGGGGGTCGCGCCCAGCTCGCCTCCGCGACCGTCGCTACGAATCCAGCGACGGACGCGTAACAGGGGGGGACGAGAGGGGCACGATCCACACGCCATACCTAAGCAGGAAGTGGGTGGGCCCATGACTTATGAACGGCCTAGGAATGTAACCGCTCTGATACCATGTCAAATAGTACTTAGGAGATTAGGAGCTTGGAGGGAGAGAGTAGCATAGCGAGATGGATATCGAGGGAGTTTGGGTTGGCCAAAGAGGGGTTCAATAAAGGCAAAGCATACAAGATATAGGACAGAGGAAGGGAGAAGAAGAGGGTACACCACCAGCAGTTGATGCTAATAACTAAACTAATACACTAGCAAGCTATAGGCAGTTATAAGATATGCAATATCAATTAACAGTTGGGGTACGCTTGCTGCCAGTCAGGTGTCTTGAGAATTGCAGTCAGTCCTGTGTGGAACTTTCGCCCGCTCTTAGGAGCTCTGGCCAGGACTGGGCACAGAGTCCGCAGCTCCTTCACGGCACGCTTCTTCTCAATGCCTGCAAGCAAGGCAAGACAAGGCATGGGATTAGTAAATGACATGGATTCAACGGTTGAACGAGTAACCAATCATAAACTAACCTGGTAGAATCTCGTCGGAGTCGTCGGCGCGAAACAGAGTGACTAGCGACAACAGCCACTCAAGGCACTGTGCCTGCCGTGCGCTCCTCTCCCAATTCGGTTGCCACAAGTCAGGAATGAAAAGCCGCACGCCGGAAAGAGAGTCGAGGTCGCCGAGCTTTGACTGGAGCTGTTGGACCAGGAGCTCGGCCATGTCGGCGCAGAGCGCCACACACGCGTCGTGATGCCCTGCCCCAAGATAGCTCGCCACTCTGCGCTCGTGTAGGGTGACCTTGAAGCGGTTGAGGCTGCCATCCGACGACGCGCCTTCCACCACCATCTCCGGTGACCCCTTCGGACCATGCTTCTCGAAGAAGCGGTATAGCCGCTCGTTGGTGCCGCCGCCGAAGTCGTCTCCGCAGTCGATGTAGCGGCTCTCCAAGAGAGAGGTTGTGCGCACAATCTGCGTATGCACCAAGGGGTAGTCGAGCTGCCACACAGTAGTAAACAATAAACATAAATGTAAAGAATATGTTAGTACAAGGGTACATTTGTAGACAACGCAACTACTCATGAAAGCTTCTTACCTCTCGCTGCTGGAAAACCCTCGAGAGGATGTTGAGGAGCTCCAAAACGTTGGCGAGGAACTGTAGCAGGAATTACAAGCGGTAGGACGTGACGAGCTCGTACATCGTCTGATCCTTCCACTCCGACAGCATCACCACGATGGCAGGGACTTCGACGAAGCGGGCGACTGCTGCACCCCTTGAAAGCCACCGCACCTCGTGTATCCCCTGCACCTCGAGGTTGGTGGAAGTGAAGACCTCCTGCAGCTCCATGAAGCGTTGATGCCACGGTGATGATCGCCCCAGGTACTCAGCGACGGCGCGGATGACGTCGTCAACCATGTTGAAGGTGGTTATAGCCTCTGCAGCAGCTTTGGCAGCCAAGGCCTCTCTGCACATGATAAGTTCAAACGGCATTAGCAGATTGTATAAAACAACAACAACGTTGAAACAAAAGCCATAAACTAAAACGAACCGGTGTGCAATACAGTGGAACGACACCAGGTTGGGGATGAGCATCCGCAGTCAAGCAACGACACAGTTGTGGGCCCCCACCATCACCATGGGGACGTCCGTGCTCACTCCAGAAATACGGCGGAGATCAACGCCGACGGCCCTGAGGTGGGAAAGAAGCAAACTACACAGGGATGCAGCGTCAGCTTTCTCAACAGTAAGGTGAGCGAGCATCTCTGTGACGATTTGGCCTTCGCGAAGAAAGGTGGCAAACACAATCATGTGTTTGCCTCGACGCCGGTCGGTGCTCTCGTCCAGAGTGATCCCGATGAAGGGGCTCGATAGAAGGTGTTCCAGTTGCGTTGTTTGGAGCCACGTCACAATTGCCTGTGTTGATTCTCCGAAGCCGTACCTGTACAGAACAAAAACCGAGGCAGTTAGCAACTGGGAAAGCTGAAAAACCAACAATTCGGTTTTTACAACAACCAGTACTTACGTGTTGTAGTAAGTGCCGTACCCTTGCTCTGGAAATCCGGGCACCTTCTTCTTCGCCGAGTTACGCACTAGCCGAATCCACGAGTCCATGGGCTCGTTGCACTTGCTCATGAAGTACAACGAGTCCACGAGCGCCGAAACCTGCAGCATCTCCTTGTCCTGCGCTTTCGGGTGTAGGTCGATGCGCTGCTGTTGCCCATACTTCTGCAAGAGGTCCTCCTGCCACTGAAGCGCAAATCGATGCTTCACCGTGCCTTCATGTTTCTTGAAGGACTGCGTCTGCACGTCGGTAGCGCCATCACCATGCCGTCCACACTTGCCCGTAATTCCCGCGAACTCCAAGCATATACTGCACTTCAAACCAGGGGCACCAGAAGCGGTTTTAGTTAGAATCAACCACATGAAATCGGTAGACCACTTTGACTTACAACGCAAGTGTGCTTCATCGTATTTCAGCTCCAACTTGTCGGACGGGGTTTTGTCGGTGGGCTTTGAGCTGTCCTGCATGGGAGATTCGTCACTCGCTGGAGCTTCAACGGTCGATGGAAGAGGTGGCGTTGCCCACGGAAACGTGGTCTGTCGGTACCGCAGCTTCGTCGGTGGCGCGGGACGGGACGGCGGTTCAACAGACGCTTCATTGGGCAACGACTCTGGCGCATCGATCACTGGCTCAGTGACGGACTCAGGCAGAGGTTCAGAGTGTACGGAAACCGGAGGGCGGCTACAACTAGGTTGCGAAGGTGGCGCTGGCGGTGGAATATGCGTCGGTAAAACAGATCTAAGAAAGTCTAGGCAGGTCACAGCGACTGGAACAGGGCGACTATCTGCATCCTCGTCATCGTCGGGCCCTTCGGCGGCAGCGTCTGTGGCTGCCATTGAGTCTGCCAATCATTGGATTTGCGAGGTCGAGGAGTTGGAGCGTGAAACAAGGGTTTCGGCACTAGTTTTCGGCGAGGCAAATGAAATGAAGCTAGAGAGACAGGGCACAGAGTGACCCCCAAGAAAGGCGACGATGAGGAAGATGAGGGGTCCTCCTATTTGGACCGCTCATCTCCCTGGTGGTCACTGCATGCACGGCACCTGGTCGTGTATGCAGGGAAGGTGGGGTGAGAGGGGCGGATGGCTGTGGTGACGTGATGATAGCAGCGCGCTGCGAGCTATACGTTGGCAAGGAGGACGGTGGGGTGGGGTGGATGGATGTGGTGTCGTCCGGGTGCAGCGCGCTGCGAGCTATGCGTTGGCAAGGAATCTTGCCAACACTGCCTGCTGCGCAGCCGCGATTGGCTGGAATTGAACCAGATTACAGCATTCCTGTACCAACGCGAATGTCCGGTGCCGCGCTGGGGAATTTTTCGTTCCCCGCCCGGAATTGACGGTGTTAGTGCAACACGCCGCCAGGCTGGCGGAATCCCCTGCAATACACGTTTCAGAGTGCACCCCCGATACAAGTCTGAGACTCAGCCTACAATCATAAAAATCGTCTGAAATTTCAGCCAATACATGAAAAAAAACTCTGAAATCAGAGAAGGTACATACAGAAAAACTTTGAGTTCAGACTAGGTAAAAAAAAAAAGGCTGAACAGACTCTGAATCAGACGAAAAAGTCTGATACCTAGGGCCCTGCCTCGAGCACTGTTCCCGCCACTGTTCACGACGTGACCCAACCTCATGGTTCGGTTGGTAACCCGCGCTCCGGACCTCCGCCTCGACAATTCCCAACCTCAGCGCTAGGCCAGTAGCGCACCCCATTTTCACACATTACCGTTACCACCCTAGTTTCACTATATATTCTTCGCTCATGCCTTCGCTCGATGTACTGTTTTGCTTCGATAGTGCAATTCTCGCTCGCTCGCTCAATTGCACTCGTAACACTAGGTATTCAGAGCCTACGATCTCTTCTCGGACCGCACCCACACCTTCGCTCCCCCACTATCTCAATTTTTGGAGGGGGTAGACATCTCTCAGCGAACAAGCACCGCCGCTCGAAGTGCTCTCTTGAAAGCACGCACGGCCACGACCGAGGCTCTCGCTGAGCTTGCCCGACACCCCCGCCATGGCCGAATTCAACATCGCGACGTTGACGCAAGAGCAGCTCGATCGGCTCGTGCGCCAACTTGAAGATTCGACGCTCGAAATTGCGGCGCTCACGGTCGAACGCGACTCCGCCCGCCAGCAATCAACAGCGAATGCACCTGCACCAGCACCGACACCAGCACCGACACCCGCAAATGTGTGAATCAAGAAAACAGGAATGAAATGACTAAGTGAAAGTTGGGTACAAAAGGCAAACCCTAGGCAACTGTACCCCATATGTGCTACCCCACTATAGCCTACAGTAGCTATATCATATAACTCTGACACACCCCCATAGGCAAAGTGGGGGAGAACAAGGGGTCACAAGACCAGTCAAGCAAAGCAAAGCAAGCTCAGGGTGGATCACAAAGTCACCACACATTCCGAGCACAAGTTCAAGGCCACAAGGCCAGTTCACATGCAGGATTACATATTAATATAAGGCTAGACAAGCAAGAGCAGGAGTATATATATATGCAACAGTACAAACAAGTTCAAGAGGTGAGCAAGTGAGGCAAGGTAGGTACAAGACCCAGCTGAGTACAGAAGCGCTGATGATCACAAGGCGCAAGTGCCTTGGTGAAGATATCAGCAGTGTTGGCCTCAGAGGCCACGTACGCAAGTCGCAGCTGACCACGCTGCTGTAGCTCACGAGCAAGGAAGTAGCGAAGAGCAATGTGCTTCGTTCTGTGCTCCAGTCTCTGCTCTCGACACAAGGCCAGCATGGCCTTGTTGTCTACGTAGAGCACTGGAGGAGAACGAGGCGGCTCTCCGAGGTCAGTCAGCAGGTAGGTGAGCCAGCGAAGCTCCTGTGCAGCCATGGCCCCGGCGTAGATCTCAGCCTCACAACTGGAGCCGAGAACAGAAGACGAGCGAGTAGCCCGCCACGAAACAGAGCCGGAACCAAGGCTGAAGGTGTAACCCTGTGACGACCGCTGCGTAGCCTGGTCGTCAGCCCAAGAAGCGTCTGCGTGTCCAGTGAGGACCACTGGACTCTGCCCTCCAAGCACAAGCCCCATGCCCGACGTACTGCACAAGTAGCGCAACACCCTCTTCGCTGCAGCCATGTGCTCCGGTCTGTGTCTCCCAGGAGCAACATAGCGTGCAAGAATGCTAAGAGAGTATGCAAGGTCAGGTCGTGTGCAGGTCATCAGGTACATGAGGCAGCCAACAAGCTCTGGGTACGGGCCACTCGACTCTACGGACTCATCCGAAGGCAGAGCTGAGAGCGAGTGGCGAGTAGGCAGAGGAGTGGCCTGAGGCGAGGAGTACGTGAAGCCGAAGCGCTGAAGGACCTGCTGCACCATGTGTGACTGAGTCAGGGTAATGGTGCGGCGTGCTCTGTCCCGGGTGATCTGCAAGCCAAGGTAGCTGCGCAGTTCACCCAGGTCTGTGCACGTGTGTCTCTTCTGCAGCTCGGACTTCACGTGGGCGAGTCCAGCAGTGTCAGCTGTGGCAAAGACCAAGTCGTCGACGTACACGAGGATGTAGAACGGCTGCAAAGAAGTGTCGGTGCGCAGAAACAGCGACGGGTCGGCAGTAGAGGGAGCAAACCCAAGAGCCGCAAGTGTAGTCCTCAGTGTGTCGTGCCACTCACGCGGTGCCTGGCGGAGACCGTAGACTGGCCGCCGGAGGCTCCACTGGGTGCCAGGAGGAAAAGACCCAGTGAAGCCAGGTGGGCGACGCAGCCAGATCTCCTCGTGCAGGCTGCCCTGCAAGAAAGCAGTGCTGAAGTCAAGAGAGTGCAGCTCGTAGTCGCGGTGAGCAGCTATGTGCAGCAGTACCCGAAGAGTGGTCATCTTCGGGGTGGGAGAGAAGGTCTGAAAGTAGTCAACTCCCTGCCGCTGACTGAAGCCACGAGCCACGTAACGCGCCTTGAAGACAGGCGGAGAACCCGGCGGCCGCTTCACCCTGAAAATCCACATGCCACTGACGATGTTCGCCCCAGGCGGGGGAACCTCGTCAACGTAGGTGCCTGTGGACTTCCAGGAAGCCATCTCTGCGTCCATAGCTGCCTGCCACTGAGAGGAGTAGGGACCCTCTATCGCCTCCGCGTAAGAGCGCGGAGTCGGGATGTCAAGTGCATCCGGGTCTCCCTCAGGGGTAAGCAGTACGGACACGAGATGAGGTGAAGCAGCAGCCAAACACTGGAACTCCTCCTGCCTGTCCTCAAGGACGTCCGTGCCAAGGGCACACTCACCCCCGACGGACGGAGGACAGACAGACTCAGACTCAGCAACAAGACTAGCAGCGTAGTCTAGACGACAGCGAGCAGCAAAGTCGACGAGCTCAGTAACTAGGGCAGACGCAGCAGTGGACTCAAAGGAAGGGTCAGTGACAACAGTAGCAAGGAGACGCGTGACAGTAGGACTGGCAGC